AAAGAGGGACCTCGGCTGGCCAGAGAGCAGCCCCCAGCTGCAGGAGTCTGGGCAGCTGCACTTAGTGGGGACAAGCTAGGAAGCCAAAAAACACGTATTACGCTTGGAAAAGACCAAGCCACAGGCGCAGGACACTGCCTTTGGGGAGCAGGGGAAGGGTGCTAATTCAGATTATTTCCCCGTGGCTCTTCTCCAAACTCCAGGCACCTTCTGTGTAATTCTTCACAAAACTTTTCCAAGGCTTAACACACCCCTGCAAAACACCCCCTCCCTGGTCCCAGCACCGCCAGGGCAAGCCTCAGGGACCGGCCACAGAGGACGCCAGCGGGACACTTGCACAGGCTGCTGGAGCGCCCGGCGATGCTTGGAGACAGCCTGTGAGGGAAGCCCGGCACGGCAGCCCTGCAAGCACGCCAGCCTGGGGAATTTTTATGGAGCCACATTGGGAAAGGAAGCAGGGGCGAGAGAATTAGAGGGGAACAGGCCATGGGGCAGGAACAATGGCCCCCAACAGCGTCCGGCTTCACTCTGACGTCGCTGCTCCTGGGACAGAGCCGCATGTGCCGCTGCCTTTACCTGTCCGGGCTCTGTCTCTTCCCAGTCCCGTTCCCCTCCAGCAGCAGCTCCGAGGAGTCGGCCGGGGACGCGGTGTTTGTGTTCAGCAAGATGTGCTCGTGCTGGGCGAGGTACTGGGACGGCGTCTGCTTGGCAGCCCGGGCGCAGTGCAGCAGCTCCCGCTGCAGCAAAGGAAGGTTGGCCTGGAAAACAGGTTGCCCGGCATTGCAGCTTTGCTCTGTGAAGGCTGACAGCCGGGTTTGCACCCCGGCATCTGTCCAAAATGGCACAGGCAGCGTTCACAGTTGCAAATCAATGTTGCCTGTGCCACAGCCTCGCTGGGCATTCAAAGGGGGCTATCTGCTGTGTGCGTGTGCGCCTAAACTGCTCTCTCAAGAACTAGAGCGGGCCTGAAACAAGTTGTGTTAGGAAACAAAAATGTACACAAGATCCTTCCTTGCGACTCCAGCAGCTTGACTATTTCAGGGCCTTGCAAACCTGAAAGACCGACCCGATTAGATCAGCACCGCCATGCTGAATTTAGCTCGGCTTCCTCTTTCCGACAGAGAAAACCACAGGATGGTCTCTGTCCATCTTGGTCAGTGTCCCAAGGGTTTAAAAACGGTCTGTTTCACAATCTCCGCTCCTGACATCTGAAGTCTCACGGTGCTGTGATTTGGAGGGGTCCTGACTCAAAAAGCATTTGAGGGGAGGGTCACAATTGGGGTTGCAGAAGTTCTCCCCTTCTCTCTGCACTGCTGCAGGCGGCGGCGCTGCCTTCAGAGTGGGGCAGCTGGCGAGCAGCAGTTGCTGGCTGGGAGCCCGGCTCTAACGGCAGAGCCAAGGATGGCCTGGTACAGTGTCACCACCCTCCCTTCTGCACTGCAGCCTGCAGAGCTGGCCCCTCACCACCTGGCTCTGACGGCAGCGCAGAAGTAAGGGTGGCACCACCACAACCCCCTAAAATAACTGCGTGTCCTCCCCACACAAGTCCCCTTGGGGCCAGCACCCCACTTCAGAAACGCGGCGAGGAGTCCTGTGGCACCTTACAGACTAACTGAAGTGTGGGAGCATGAGCTTTCGTGGGCAAGGACCCACTTCGTCAGATGCATGTAGTGGAAATTCCCAGAGGCAGGAATAAATATGCAGGCCAGGATCAGGCTGGAGATGAGGAGGTGGATCCAATCAAGGAGGATGAGGCCCACTTCTAGCCGCTGATCTGGAGGTGCTACCCCTCTGATACTGGTCTCTCCTGTGAAACCCGGAGAGAGCACAGGGCAAGAGCACACAAGAGACCCTGGATTTTTCAGGGCTGAGATTCTGGTAGGGCCGTTGGCTAGAACGCGCTGTTCGGGTTATCCCAGATCACGACAGGAACCAGACTATTTCCAACAGCGCTTTCCGCCTTCGGTGGATCTAGCGAGAAGATGGCAGCATGCGCCACCACACAATACTGGTGTGCCTGGGTGACGTGGGCCACTTCTCTGAAACTCCCTTCTCCTCAGTACAGGCCCAGCTGGGCTGCTGAAATGATAGCCCCTGGAGCTGAAGGGACTGTGTAGAGAAAGGAGATGATGGAAGACAGGGATGAGGGAATTCAGCCATCAATTTAGCCCAGGGGAAATGGCCAATACAGGACCTTAACGTCTCCACGAGTCACGCTTTCCCTCGGAGCTGGTCAGATTAGGCCGTCACCCCTGTCTAGTATGGGCTGTGACTTGATGAGCCTCCTGTTGACAGGTTCCCAGGGGCGCAGGGTCTGGGGCAAACTCTGCCCTCCCTCTCCCCCACACTGTTCCAGACACAGGGCCCAGGGCAAGCCCTTCCACCACAGGCCCCGCCCCTGCTCCACCCAGTCCCTGCTCTGCCCTGCTCCTCCCCCCAAGCAGCGTGAGCTGGGGAATCACGGGGGCGGCAATGGCAGGGGTCATCGTCCCCCTTCCCTGTGCACTCACCCTGGAGTGAGCCGGCAGCCCGCTCCGCTCCACCCTGCTCTGCCGCCCTCTGTAGCAGGAGGCGAAGCATCTCGGGGCGGGGGGGCTCTGGGTCCTGCTGCG